TTTTTTTTACAAAAGGTAGAGTATTCCATAAAAGAATCAAGTAAAAGAGTCATCACTAACAACAACATTCCATATAATTAGAAATTAAAGTTAAAATAGAATATAAAGAATAGAAAATTTTATTTGAATCTTTTAGATAATGAAAAAGAAAGAAATAAAAAAGACAAATGAATAAATACAAAGGATTTAATTGTACATCTGTTGAAATTTATAAAAAAAGAAGGGAATTTAAGCAATAAACAAACCTCTTCCAACAAGTTCCATCATTTTAAATTGAGAAATAGAAGTTCCACCAAGAACAAGATGAGATATTTTAGTACATTTTTGTAATAACATTTCAATTCCATTATCAGTTACTCCACTACACATACGAAGTTCAACAGAAGTTAATAATGGACAATAAGAAGCAATATTTCTCATTACATCATCACCACACATTGGAATAAAATTAAGTTTTAAAGAATTTAACCATTGAGCTTCTTCAGTGAATAAATAACTTTGTTTAAAAGCAATTCCTTGCATACAAAAAGTAGAAAGTCTAGTTAAACTATTTACAAGTGAAATAATACCATCTTCATTAATCATTACATCAAAAGAAATATCAATATATTCTAAAGATTGCATTTTACATAATATTGGAATAACAAATTGATTAATAGAAAGACATGAAGAAATATCTAAATGAGAGATTAAAGGACAAGATATTCTAATTTGATTAATAACTTCATTTGTTATTCCTCTATTATTTGATAAAAATAATACTCTTAATTGTGGACATGAAGCAATAAATTTTAACCAACTATATTCAGAAATCATATCATTATTTGATGCATAAAAACTTGTTAATGTATTTGAATATAAACTAAATACATTTAATGATAAACTAGATAAACTATTACAAAACGAAAGATTAAGTGATATCAAATCTACACCTCTTGTTTGAAAAAGATTTGTATAAGCATTATCAGTTAATCTAATACATCTTTTAAGTGATAAAGTTAAAGGATGAACTTTCATTCCTGGTGTATGAATTGATCTTCTAACAGTTTGATTATAAGTAATAGAAGATTGAATAAATTCTTGTAGACATTGATCTGTGACAGCAGTATCATCTAATATCAAACTTCTTAATTGTGGAGATGCAATAAGCATTGTAGTAATAAATTCTTCTGAAAGACGAATACAACCAGAAATATTAAGATATTCTATTTCTTCTAACCAACGAAAGAGAGTTGAACGAAACATAGGATGGTATGACTCTAAAATTGAATCTCCATTAATTCCAAAACAATTAGCAAGATTTAAATACTTTAATTTAAATTGTGAATTAAATAATTGTGCTAATGTCATTGGTCCAGCTCTTGTACATCCTGAAAGATTTAATGAAATTAAATTTCCATTTAATTGTTGAAGAAGTCTTTGAAGTGCTTCATCACTTAATCTACTATTTCCAAAACATATTCTTGTTAAATCAGGATTGAGTTGTGATATTTTTAATAAACATTGATCATCTAAACAATTATTTCCCATTAATTCTATTTCTTTAAGTCCATGAAGTACTGAAATACTAGAAATTGTTAATTGAATATTATTAGCTTTAAATGATATTAATGAATTAATATTCTTTAATTCAATAACACTTTTATCACTAATTTTTGGACAATTAGAAATAACTATTACTTCAAGTGGTGGATGAATAGTTAATAATGAAATAAATGCATTATCATCAAATCCAACACATGCTTCAGTATTTAAATATTTTAATTGTTTAAATGACCTAAATAATACTTTTAATGATTCTGATGAAATTCCAGTTGCATATGAAATATTAAGTGTAGTAACAGAAACATTATTACAAAGTTGTGATAAATTCATACATGTAAATTTAGTTAATAAATGGGTATGATGAAGATCAATTATTTGTAATGGTGTTCCTGAAGAAAGTATTCTGAAAAGAATAATATTTAAATCTGATTCACTTGCATTTGGATTATTTGATATTCTATAAATTAATTTAGTTGCTAAAACAGGTGGAAGAGCAATTGGTGTCTGTTCTTGTTGAGATGAAAAGTTTTGTTCAAATCTACCGAAAGAATCTAAAATAATTTCACTTAATGTTGGAATAATTGATCCTGTGTTCTCTGTTAATAAAAACGGTCTTGTTGGAATATTTAGTGACATCATTTTTCTTCTCATTCGTTTCATATTATTTGGATTATCTCTCTGCATTGAAAGAACAAAAAATTCAATTCAAGTTTGATAAAACTATATGTCTTTTGATTTTTTTATTTTTTTACTTTTCCTTTCATTTTTCTTCTTTATGTCTTTTTATATTTCTTTTTATTTTCAATCTTATTTACCTAACATTTCTATTTGAATGGGAATTTTCAAAGAACATTTTGGAAGTCAATTTGATTTTTTCCTCTTTTAGAATTTTCTCTTTTTTTTTTATTTTTTTTTTCTTCACTTCTTAAATCCTTTATTTATCAAGTTTTTTACTAATTATTAATATAAAAAATATTTAGTTCAATTCCATAGATTCTAGTTCAACTTCATTAATAAATCTTTATGATAATATTTTGATAGTAAATAATAGATAAAAACAAAATATTAATATAAATAATAAAAATGTGTTATTGAGTGAACAAAAGTAAAGTATCATTTTGAAAGAAAAATGATATTATTTTGTCTATTCAGTTTGAGACATTTCTCCTTGATAAGAAGATTCAGTTATTTCATTTTTCATTGTTCTATCAGAAAGAATTGAAGCTGACTCTTCATTTGACAAAATACTACTAGAAAGTGATGAACGAACATCTTTACTACAATCTATTTCATTACTTTCTTCTGTTTCTAATAATCCTAAACCACATCTTTCTCTTGTATAACAAGGAGGTGGTAAAGGTTTAAAAGGATTATAATCTTCAATAAACTTCTCAAAGTCTAATCCTTTTGAAATGCAATACTCTTCTATTTGATTTCTTAAAAAGAATATTTCATCATTTAATTCATCTATCTTTTTAATTCTCTTTAAAATGGTTTGTTTAAATCCTTCAGCAACTTTAAGATAACTTTCATCAGTTTCATCATTAAATAATTGAAGTGTTTTTGGTTTAATTAGTTTATTTAAAGGTTCTTTATCCCATGAAGTACAAATTAATGCAAAGAAATTTTCTAATAAAATAAGTCTATTGTCATCAGTAGCTCTTGAAACAAGATTAGAAAGAACAACTGATGTCATTGAATTAATAACATCACTAATATTTTTATAACAATGATCTAAAACATCTTTTGATAAAATAGGTGCACGATGTAAATGAGGAAATTCTGTTTCTATTGAAATTGAGTCAAGGAATTTATTCATTGATTCATACATAGAAACAACATAAGTATTAAAAGGAATTAATTGTGGATTAGTTAATGGAGTTTCTCCTTGAGGAATAAAAGATTGATAAATTTTAGTTAAAATAACTAATATTTTCTTAGCATTTTCTGTTGGTTCAATTAAACATGAATTATAATTTGCTGGAGAAACTAATGCTGGAGTAATTAATCTATGGAAAATAATAATTGCTATTGAACGAATTGCACTATCAGGAAATTTTTCAGAAACAGCATTTCTTAAAGTAGCTAAAATATATTTAATTCCTTGTGGAAAATCATTACCTAAACTAAGAAAACGAGAACAATGAAGATGTAATAATTCAGATAAAGTAGTAATACTTTTCGTGTAATTATCATCTTTTGAATCTAAACTGATTTGATCAGTGATATGATTAACTGATTGAATGATTGGATTCATATGTTTCTCTAATAATGAAGTTAAATCTCGTCTCATCACTGATGATAATAAATGAGTTGCTCCTGAATTAGAACGAAGTAAAAATTGTTCTTCACTTGTATTAGATATTTCATATTGTAATTCTTCTGATAATATTCTATATATTTGACCGGATTCTTCTAATAAATCTCTTATAGAATCCCAAAATTCAGTTACTGTTGCTGAAGAATGTCTAATAAGAAGTCTTAATAAATAAAAGTCATACATCCTTGCTATTTCCCAAAAAATAAAACTATTGTTTTGTGTTTCATTATTAGAAATATCAGTACTAA